TTACACTGCATTCGTTGCATGATAGCAAGCTATGATAAATCGCAACAAAACTGCAAAATAATAAAAAAAATCAATGTTTAGCAAAGAAAATGTGAAATACTGTAAACTAAATTACCAGCTCAAAATCTGAAAACAAAAACTTATTTGAAAGACAAAAATTGACAGAGATAAGTAACTGTGTTGATGTAAGATCTAGTACGAGTTTAAAACTGAAAATTCGTGCACTGAAAAGACAGCAGTAAACGAAGTCGATGCGAAAAATAAAAAAGCTTAATTCGACAATTTGAGCGCTATAATTAGAAGGAAATATATAAAAGTAAGAACATCGTTTTGCAATGTTGAGCTTTCCTACAAAACTAAGGCAGGTGTTTAACAATAACAACCCAGGAAAAAAATAAAATGGTCATTTCTTTAGAATGCATCAAGTGGTCCTTGTGCTTTCTAGGATGACCGAGCTGGATTACTAATGGGCAAATTTCATCGGTCATAGTATATTGAGCGTAAAAGTGGAATAGTGGGGGAATTCTGTAAAAAAATTGCACTATGGGTGAATAAAATGTCCTAAAGAGAAAGTAGCCAAGGAATGTCCCAATTTCTTCTATATAAAGCTGAGGATCGAATAGGCCGCCTGCAGAATCAAACTTACTTTGAGACAAAGGACTTTAGTGCTGATACTCACAAAGGCAAGTTATTGTTGAAAATGAAACATTGGTCTTTGACATATCAAAGGGTGGGACTGAAGATCGATGGCGGACAAACACGCAACACGTCGAATTGGTGAATTTTGCAGAACCCCGTTGAGCAATTTTTTCGAATGGGTTTCCCTATAGTGTTAAATGAATATGCAGTGTTTTCTTACAAAACTGCCAAGGTTTTTACCAAATCACTTGAAAACTCTCAATTTATGGAAGAATTTCAAGTCGTTGCGTAAAGTGTGCATGAGTGTCCGAGATCGAAAACCATGGTCACGCCCACTTTTCTAAGCCGCAATAACGGGCATTTGTGCGAATTCAGCGATACCCGTCATTTCCCTTTTCAAGTCTTACTTAACGAATAGTCTCTAAAGCAGTTAGACGTTTCTATTGTTAGTGTCAATGTGCACTTACCATATTTTCATTTTACGCACTTATTGAAATGGAGCTACTTCTCTGAAGGTAATGGCAACATCTTATTGTTTAGATATAAGATGCGGAAGATATGCCCGCTTATGGGACCAAAAGCGTCTGCATTTTGGTGGGACTTCAAGCCTTGATTCTTTTTTGTGTACTTTCTTTTACCCAAGAAGCAGAACTCTTTCAGTATGGTCATGTCGGTTTGGGGCATAATATTCCTTGGTCTGCTAGGAGTCTTCTTCTACTTACAAGCTGTGACTCTATTCTCTGATCTTCATTTCTCCGAAGAAGCGAAAGAAGGTGGTCACATGGCTCCAACGGTTGAGTGAGTGCGCAAGATTAATTTTTCTTCAAAATGCCTAGGATGTTTTCCGTCTCGTGAAATCATTTTCATGTCATTCTGCTCTT